CCTCATCTTAGACGACATAAAGTGACTTGGATTCTTCGTAAAGAACTGCTGACAGATTCGAAGTCACTCAGGTTATAAATAGAAAAATGAAAACCTCACAACATTGAGTGTAGAACTCGGGCTAGAATTCCGACAATCACTAAATTGTTTTTCGTTTAGAAATAGACTTCTGTAAGTTCCAGTAGATCGTACACATATATACACATACAAGAGTTAGTAACCCTTTATTGTTTAAGATGATGAAGAACTGATAGTTGAATTTTCCCACAATACTATGAGTGGGCCTTACGTTATAATTTCACATAGTCATTGTTCCAAAAATACATTCTCATCAAGGCAGTAAGGGACGTCAGTTTCGACCTAGCCTGAACTAGTCTCATCAACAGCCCCAGTAACTTGAGCCGGTGTACTGGTAGTGCAGTGTATCATCTCGACATGTCAACCAATGCGCCGCGTTTCAAGGAATGCTCTTGGATCACAAGATAGATATGAATTTCAAGGAAGGCCAGGACTTTTCCTATATTACATTCTTTGGTGGGATTCTCGATGAAAAAAAGTCTCTTTAAAAGTGGGTTGACCTCGTTATCGCAACTTGGTCTTGTTGCCAAGGCGACTTAGTAGAATGCATCTAGTCCGAAGTCGTCTGCCATAATGGTTGTCATAATTCCCAGCATCAGACAGTGGACTTGGTACATTATCAAACGTTTTGCCGGCGTTGTAGTCGGCATCATCAGTGAGTGCTGCCATTCTCCGCACCAAGCTACGAACTCTTGTCTCTGACTGGGTGAGTTCTACTAAGTCGCCCTGGCAACAAGACCAAGTTGCGACAACGAGGTCAACCCACTTCTATAAATTGAAAGAAGACTCCGACCATACCAGAGGCCACACCATCTTCGTATTCATTTCTTCAAAAAGTGTTTTTTTGTTACAGCAATCGATTACAGTAATTATTTTTCGTTTATAAGTGGGCTTAAGTAACTAAGATCACACATAAAATATGTATTTTCCCTGTTTCGTTTAAGGTTATGCAAGACTGGTAGTTGAATCTTCCCAAAGTGATATGAGTTCCGCTAGGGGTGCTAATTAGACCTAAGCGAAATTGAAGCTGCAGTACACTCCTGTCTAGAAGAAAATTCCTTCTGAAAAGCGTGGCTATGTGTAATTCAAAGGAAACACACCGCTTACCCATATGATTGTGGGAAAATTCAACTACCAATCCCTCATCACTTTAAACGTAATAAGGGGAATACATAGCATATATCTCAAAATTTGTTGTTAACCCGGCCGGAAAAAAATAATCTCCTATTTTCTCTCATCACCATCCTCTGTGGCATTTCTCTCTCATTGTAGACGGGCCATTGGGATGCTTAGTTTTGGCATTTGCCTAAAAGTTATTTTGCAAGTGATGAGCCAACTTGCCAAAGTGGCTGAAGAATAACGGAACTGGTTGGCATAGAAACTAATGGTCTCCTTTTTGTTTGGATATTGAAGAGATGCAAGCAAAGTGTGCATGGTAAGAAATTGACTGACCTTGTCTTTTTCAACGAAATCCACAAATACGGCGCGTTCTATCTCTACTGGATGCCGATTTTGATCGTACAAGGCCAGAATAAAGTGAAAGAAGTTGCTTTTCCTCAGATTGTTGGGCGGATGCTTTTCGAACCGGGCTGATACAACCTCCATTCGCGGTAGGTGCTGTGGATATCTGAAATGCAAAAAAAACATTTCACAACATGTCAAAGGCTAAATCGTTATGTCGGTCTGGCGACAATAGACCCCAAATTGAACTGTTTTTATTTTTTATTCTTCATTTCTTTCCTCTCTTTTACCTTGCTGAATTATGGAATATTGAAATTCAACCCATTTTATTCTGAATTGTGTGAGCAGAACTCGGCTGGAACCACATGGCCAGCTCGGCCTGTATCCTCAAATTTCCGGTTTACGGTCCGATTCGTAAACCCATAATTTGCATAATGGTCTCAAAGCCTCTCTGCTTCTCCTGCCTGCTAGCCTATCTACACATGTAAGTACACACTTATTGGGACGGTTGAATGACTATCTATTAATCCGTTTATCTACACGTAGACGCGTTTCTACTCGTCGTCTCTCTATACGCACTAGCTACCTTTAAGCCAATTTCATTCACCTCTTGCAGACAAGCATACACCCCCAGTTGAGATGGCGGTTGCGGCAGCAGCAAACTGGCCCTGGATGCAGAAATTGTTCTTGCTCGCTGTAGGAGCTCGTCTTGCTCCATGGTTGGTACTTTAATGTGCCCGCTTGTGTGTTTGTATGTGTGTACGTATGCGGGTGGCGTAGTTTGTAGATATGAGGCAAGGTGGAGCCTTGAGTTAATTTATTGTCTCAGACTAGCTGCCATTGGGATAGACTGACTTTTATAGAAGAGGAAAGCTTAGATTTTTTCAAGATCTTGGGCAAATTGCAAATTTTAGGCTGTCTAAAATTGACGTATTTTCCTGGCATGGATGATGCAATAATTCGAGAAACAAGTA